AAGTACGATTTTTTAAAGCTGCTTCAATCTTGTGCTCCAATAGTAGTCCTTATTCCGATTTTCCGGATTCCATCTCTATACACTCAACTAAATGCAAATAGTACCAAATTTAGTACCATTTTGTACTTTTTATACACATAAGTACGAATTTCCTTAAGCATTTCCATACATCAACACCACTTCCCAACCTGTATTCCATATAAAATTTCAATATTTTAGCTATATAGGTTCAATATGTTCAAAATATATACAATTAGAACTAAATTTAGTAATTTTTAGTATTTTTAGTACAGTTATAAGTCGAATTTACAAAAACCCTTTTGTACAGCTTTCTAACTTTTCATCAGTGACCCACATTCCAAATTTCAGAATTCTAGCTCTTCCCGTTTGCCTAATACAAAAGGTACAATATTTGGTACATTTTAGTACTTTTCGTACCCTTCTAGTTCGAATTTCCAAAAACCCAGCCTTATCTCACGCCTACACACCAGCAACAACCCACACACAAAATTTCAAGCTTCTAGCTTCAGCCGTTTCGTCTGGGCGATGATCTGTCAGTCAGTCACTCACTCCCTCACTTAACACTAAGCTCTTTTATATATATAGGTATCCCTCCCTCCCCCCCTTTACATTTATAATTGTACATACATAGTAATTTCCACTTTGAGTAGTTTGTCATCCCAACCTTCTTCTTTACTGAAAGAATTTTATGCAGTAAGATTTGGCAAACTCAGCCATGTTTGGATCAGCTGTTTTATGACCAAACACAAAAATTATTCAAAACATTTTTTTTTAATTTGCAAAGTTCAATTTGAAGTTAAGTTGTATAAAATTTACAGAAAATGGAAGAAAATTCGTAGGCAATGCAAAGTTTCATTACATTAGAAACTAATTCCTTATATATTTTTAGGCAAGTTCCTGATAGAGGGCAATGTATTGATGCAGGAAGCTTAAATGTTCCCGGGGAACATACTTGATCAATTTTTCTTCTATTATTCATTTTATTTTTAATATTAAATGCAATACAAATAATTGTGCTCGTCCTTTGTTTATTGTTTATTTTGGCGCAAATCAAATGTTTTCTTGAATCAGCTGTTTATTTGCTAAATCTTACTAGATGTTATGTTCGTTCGTTTACTCAATAATTTGTACGAGTTTGTACAAATTATTACAAAATGTTGTTCGTTTACCAAAAGTCCAGTAAAAGAGAGTCTATTGAGAGAGCAGATTTGACAGTTGTGTTATTGAGTATTTGCAAATTCTTACAAGGAAAATTTACTCAGTAAGAATTTTCTTGTACCATCAGCTGATATTTAATCAGCTGTTTTGTTATGTTTTGTAAACAAACAAAAAATTGTTCTGAAGAAAATTGATTGTTTTGTGAATTTTATTTTGATTTTGTATCATTAAATACCGAAATGGATGAAGAAAACGCAAGTATTTAAAAATAAGGTAATACAAGAGTAATTGGCGAACGATTTTTTAGGTTCCAAATCCAAACAAAAAAGTGTGCATCCCTAACATGTCTGGAACACCATCGGTTATGTCCACCCCAATATCAATTGCAGATACAGGAATAACAGGTCACAACCCTTTTAAATGTTTGTGGGGAACAAACAACATCAATTTTCCGCTTGTTATCCATTTTTCTAATAAAAATGCTGTTTTTTAGTTTGCGCCAATTTGTTTGTTGTTTTAATCAGCTGTGTCGAAACAATCTTTTTACTGGATGTTGTCGTTTACTCTTTGCAGTTTTCTCTCTTGAAAAGGAAAAATTCGTATTTACTCTCTGCAAATTCTTACTGAGTAAATATTACTGGGAAAGTAAACGAACGAACCTGTTGTCTGTTTACTTTTCTCAGTATTATTAGAGAGTAAAAAAGGGTTACTGTAACCAGACACACCTATCATTAATTTGTTGATTGATTTAAGGGGAACATTTGGTAACCCTATCTTGTACGATGTTATTTCAAATCAGCTATTTGTGTCAAGCGAGAGATTCATTCGGAATAAATGCAACACAAACTAAGTATCTATTTAAAATTGGGTTTTAAAGGCGTTCATCATGTGCTTTTTTATTTCAAAAAAAAAAAGATTTTCTTTTATATAGAAAAACATGAATACACCTGACTCTCACTATGAAAATGTAAGTGTAATGATATTTTGCATTGTTACAATTGATTTGTTACTAAATTATCAAGTATGTTCTGGAACTCACGGTGTGTTCTTTTCACTTCACACATACACTTCCAGCCTTATTCTGGATATTCATTGGGATATCTCGCATGTAAAAAAATTTTCGATTTCACATTCTCACCTTATTCTGAATGAATAGGGAGATGCAAAAAATGCGAGATGCGGATTCGAGTTTTCGAAAATGGTGGTTGAAAAAAAGATTCGTGTTGCCATATTGTAATTTAAGTTGTAATGTGTGTTACCATATTGTAATTTAAATTGCATTGTGTGTTGCCCCATTGCAATTTAATAATATTTTTGTAATATTTTATTTATTGATTTTTTATTAAAAATTTTTACTTTTTATTGTTATTTATACTTTATAACAATACAAATGTGAAATATCAATAATCCGCTGTATAAATGCTTTGTAATTGAAATGAAATAAATTAATGTTTGAAAATATGGCAACCTACAATATGGCATGTGAAACAGCTGTTTCGATTGAATTAATTAATTCACAGTTTATTATTTCACAACATAATTGTGTGCCTTTTTAAATAATTTCGATATTTTATCTCCTCAAATTCTTAAAGTGACCAGTTATGATTTGCTCCTACTCCTTTATTTCTTCCTTCAAATCATGCACACGATAATTTGGGAAAAAATATTTTTTGTAGCTTTATTTTTGTTTTCCATAATTTTTAAAATTTTTTTCTTGAGAGACAGATCCTCACCCAAAATGTCTGTATTTCGCTTCCAAAATGCATCAAACTCGACTGAAATATTTTATTACTTTTATACATTCCTTGGCAATATTTGGTTTAGCATGCATCGTAATCAATAGAATTTACAATGGTATTTTATTTGTTGTTTTCCAGTTAAAAATTTGCATACAATCATTAATAATATTCTAAATCGTCATAGAATTAGTATTGTGTAAATATTTTTTATAAAAATATTTATTACTTATTAGCGAAAAATTTCCCACAAAATTTTATCTCATTTTTCTACTCCCTTTAATCCAGAATACCTAATTTTTCCCCAAAGCGGATTTTTTCGCTTTCGAATAAGGCGTAAGCGAAAATGCGAAAAAATTCACAAGAAAATGTTGTTCAGAATAAGTCGAAGGGGAAGAGCGAGTAAAATCACGTGGAATTGAATTTTTTGCTAATCATACAGCCTTATTCTGGACGTCAATTCCACGTGAATTTACTCGCTCTTCCCCTTATTATTTCGCATTCTCGCTTTCGCCTTATTCTGAATGAAGTTCGAAAGCGAAAAAATTCGCTTTGGGGAAAAATTAGGTATTCTGGATTACAGGGAGTAGGAGAATGAGATGAAATTTTGTGCGAAATTTTTCGCTAATATATTCAAAGGGAGCTGACTACAAAAACATAATTAATAAATATTTTTATGAAAAATATTTACACAATACTTATTCTATGACGATTTAGAATATTATAAATGATAGTAAGCAAATTTTTAACTGGAAAACAGCAAATAAAATGCCATTGGAAATCCTATGCATGCTGAACCAAATATTGTCAAGGAATGTTTAAAGATAATAAGGAATATTTAAGTCGCTTTTGATGCATTTTGGAGGCGAAATACAGACATTTTGGTTGAGGATCTGACTCTCAAGAAAAAAAATTTGAAAAATTATGGAAAAACTAAATTTGCCTGATGAGCCGCTTAACAGTGAAAAACTTAAATAAAAATCATAAGGCTACAAAATTTTTTTTTTCAAAATTATCGTGTGCATGATTTGAAGGATGAAATAAAGGAGTAGAAGCAAATCATAACTGGCCATTTTAAGATTTTGGGGAGATAAATATCGAAATTAAAAAAAAGGCACACAATTATGTAGTGAAATAATAAACTGTGAATTAATTAATTCAATCGCAGATTTCTTCCTATTATACGTTGTGCTTTTGCCATCATAAAAAATGTTCTTTTAATTGTAGGCTATTGTAGTTGTTGCACCAAATTGCATCAAAACAATGAACAGTTGTTTCACATGCCATATTGTAGGTTGCCATATTTTCAAACTTTAATTTATTTTCTTTTAATTACAAAGCATTTATACAGCGGATTATTGATATTACACATTTGTATTGCTATAAAGATTAAATAACAATAAAAAGTAACAATTTTTAATAATAAAATCAATAAATAAAATATTGAAAAATATTACAAAATTGAATTACAATGGGGCAACACACATTGCAACGTAAATTACAATATGGCAACACACATTACAACTTAAATTGCAATATGGCACGAATTTTTTTTCAACCACCATTTTCGAAAACTCGAATCCGCATCTCGCATTTTTTGCATCTCCCTATTCATTCAGTATAAGGCGAGAATGTGAAAGCGGAAATTTTATACATGGGAGATATCTCCCTAGCAAATATCCAGAATAAGGCTGATAATTACTTCATTCTGTCAAAACCACAAATAATAGAATTATATAGACAAAAACGCGAGATGCATTAGTATCATTGCAATTATTTCATCTGTGTGGACTTTGAATACGAAAATATCATTTATATTCAAAATTTTCTAAATCAAAATTCTCTAAACTATACGAAAACTTCATTTTTATTTGGTCATTTAAGTTTTGCATAATCCATATGCATACTATAGATAGATTTATTAAACAATTTTATACAAATTTCCCAAACATTCTTAATTAAAAAAATATATGTTTATGATATATATGAAAATTTCAAAATAATGCAAAATGAGGCTTCCTGAACACTCTTGTTTTTAAAGCTTTATAAAAAATATGTCCACTAAAATATATATAAACACAGTAATACCGCTTATAGCAACTTTTCGATATCTTTAGCAATATCCATGGGATCTGTTGTGGGGGCATAACGATTAACAGGAATTCCTTCCTTGTTAACTAAAAACTTTGTAAAGTTCCACTTAATTCCGCTTCCCAATGTCCCGGTTTGCTTAGCCTTCAAGTACTGATACAAAGGAGCAGCATTGGATCCGTTCACATCAATCTAGGAACATATGAAGTGAAAAACATAATAGAAAATATGTCTCAGAATTCTATCTCCATAACAAACTTACCTTTTTGAATACATCGCCAATGTCGGCTTTTGCGTCGCGCAAATGGCAAACCATAGCCTCGCCATCACCTTCGGGCATTTGAGAGCCAAACTGGTTGCATGGGAAATTAAGGATTTTTAAGCCTTTGTCGCCGTATTTCTCACGCAAATCTGTCAACTTCTTATAATTGTTCTTGGTCAAGCCACATTGAGATGCAATGTTAACTATTAGCACAACGTTGCCCTTGTACTTCTCCAGAGAGACATCTTCGCCGTGGGTATCTTTCACGGTGAAATCATAAATGCTCTTTGCGTTCTTAGCTTCTTCGGACATGATTTCGGACTGAAATAGAAAAGGAAAAGCACATTAACTAACGGCCTACTGTTATAATACAATTGATGTATTAACGTTCGTTTTCATGCATCGACTAACAAACGTTGTTTTTTAAATAGCAACTAAATTAAAGACATTAGACGGGGTTAAAATTCGTTAGTAAAGTATCACTTTTAACACAAAAATAGTTGTAATAAAATGTCGTCCAAACAAATTGTTATTTAATCTACTTTTAAGGTTTTGTTTTTGTCTTTTGGGATAATTCCCTACGACATTTGCAATTAATTACTTCCAACTAAATCATTGATATACAGTGTGGGTCACAAATAACGTTTTCAAAAGATGTGAGAATGTGAGAAGTGAAAAAAATCTTACTGGATGTTGTCTGTTTACATGCAAACAATAAAGCAATTCTAAGTAAATTGTACTGGAATAGTAAGCAGACACGGCTTAAATTTGGTCTAATCCCGCTAATTTTTGTTATCGTTGCAAAAATTGTAATGTTTCATTATATTGTGAATATTAGTAGATGCTTGCTTGCAGTACAGACCATCTGACTTCCTTCTTGACTTTAAAGTCGATAACTTCCTATTAGCGGACTCTCATATTTTGAGTCTTTTTAGTTTTTATGTATTCCGGCAATATTCATTCAAGAGACAATAACTACCAATTTCACTTTATTGTTGACATAGTTTTAATTTATTATTATTATTTATTTATTTTTTTTTTTTGCATGTATATCTAAACTATTAAATTCAATTTAAATATTGTTTTTCACAAAGACCTTATTTTTGACAAATATCACTTCCCATATTAAATCTTTATAATACGGTATAAGAATGAATTTTATATAAAACTTTATTTAAAAATAGTCCCTAATCAATGTTTAATTAAAAAAATTTTTCGCCAGGGGTGTGCTATTTATTTGACCATCACTGTATATAATTCTGGAATTTTTAAAATTTCACAATGTTATAGGTGATTATCTTGATGACTGTTTCATGCAAGTTGTAGGACATATGACATTTGCAACCATTCTAAAGGTACACATTAGTATTGGTGAGCTAAATCGTTTGCTTTGGAGGTCAGTAGATTGACTATTTCGTAATTAATAATTCATAAGGAGACAACTGCATTGTCATGATACAGTCAAAAGTTGTTTACTCAATCGATATTTTCTTTAAAGCCTAAGACACATCAATACAACTATTTACTATAAGAAATGTTTAAATATATTATAATTTAAAAAATACATCCTTAAATCCTTTTTATTTTTTTATTTTGAAACAATTTAATTTAACGGCACAACCTGTTTCATACTTCTGTCCCAGAACATAAAAGTTTCTAATGTTTTTATCAGTTTTGGTGCTTTGTACTCGAACCCTATTCCTGTACACATAAAACTAGTAAAACCTTCGATTTACATTTTCTTTTAAAAAAAAGTACGGACAAAGGAAAGGATTGTTATAGAAAATAAATTGGCAATGTCGGGAATTGTTTATAATGGTTGGGCACAGATTGTGGAAAATTTATATAATTTTTTAAACAAATTGACTTAATTGACTTGAATGAAACAATTAAAAAAATATAATAAAAAGTCCAAACGGCAACTGTACCAATTAAAAAAATAGTAAAAACCCAACTATAATGATGCATTTTTATAATATTTAACATTATTTTGAACTAAACTTCTAATATTAATTACACCTCGGATATGCGCGCCACAACAATAACATTTGACCAAAAATGTTGGTGTAGTAGGTTGTAGTTTCGATGACCTAATAATTTCTCCATATTACGAACAATGGTTCCTTATGGTCTGTTCCCGTACTGCAAGAATCTACTAGATTTTACTATTTTCTTCGATATCATAAAGCAAAATTCTTTATCGTAGTAAAAAGTAGTAGATTCTTGCAGTACGGGAACATACCATTAATTTCGATACTTTTCAGCCAATTTAAAACAAATTTTATTGTAAATGTTAGCCAAACCGTTTTCAAAGAAACAACTTTTGTTCGTCAAAAAATTACATTCTAATTTTACAACTTATGCAATTCACGAGGTCTAAAAAAAGGTTATCAAAGAAAGATTTCATAGACTCTCAATATATAATGCTTAAAAAAGAATTAAATTATCACTTCGATGTCCCCTCTGAGGGGCCATTAAAGTTTATTGCACTAGTCTTGTATTGTCTGTTCCGACGGGGAAACAGTGCAATAAACGCCAAACAGAATCGTCTAGAGTGGCAAGGGTTAAGTCGGAATTTCCTTTCAGTTTGAACTTATTATACAGTTAACGAGGGCGACGTTAAATATCACATTTTACAGTTCGATGTTGGAAACATAATGAATGTTACTGGGAAATGTATTTTATTAAGGAATAAGCAGTATGATTTGCTGCGAAAAAAAGGATGATCAAAACGCATAACAAATAAACGTCACCCAAAAAAAGGGAGATTTAATTTATATTACGTCTAATATCATGTCAAAACACTTATGATATACAAAACTTCACATCAACATTTATTATTATATTTCGTATGTCCTACTAAACAATATTTTTTTACTCACGTCGGTCTTGGCTACATTCATATTCGGTGTAGTATGAGCGGCACAACCGACATTTATAATTGGCAAGAGGACTAAACACAGTTTTCCACGAATAGCATTTACTCGAGGACACATAAGTAATGTGTATTCACGGCATTGCTGTTGAGATAATTGTTGTGGTCGCCTTTTTGTAAACAACTGACTCACAGGACACCTACAATTTACCGAACGATTTGATGCATTTATAATTGAACTGTTTACAATTCTCGTGAGAAACATATCAGCTGAAATTTTAACAAGAAATTAAGTTAAGTTAGATGGCGAAACCAACGCATGAAATTGTAAAAAACAAATTTTAATAGCTTTATCAGATGGTCTTCGTTTAATCTGAATTATGAACACGAATATTAATACGGAGAAATCTAGTATAAATTTATTTTCTAACAAAATGTTGAAATTATTATTGCTTTATTTTGCACCACTTAAAGTGTATGTCGACACAATGCAGCGGTGTCGCAGAAATTGACTATACAATTTTATCTATTTTTGTTTTATTATATAACTGGGTAAAAATGTGATATTTTTTATTTTTCAATTTTATCATAATTATTCTAATATATTGTTTTGAGTAGTTTAAGTATGCATGTATGCAAATTTTAATTTTTTTAATTTGTTATGCTTTATTATTTAAGTTTATGCTAGGTGTAAGAGGAGCTTAAATAATTGTTGTATTGTGTAACTATCAATGGTCATTTAGGCTTTGTTGCAAAAAAAGCGAAATTAATTAAAATTAAAAAAATTCAGTAGTGTTGGCGGGTTTATTTGGGATACCATTTGTATTTTGTTTTTGCAAAATACAGCAACAAACCAAACAGTTTAACCGTGACCGCGTCTACAACTTCACTTTGCAAAAACAAAATTAAAAAAATTAAAATATATTGGTCAATTAGAAAAATATGTTATGCTCTCTTTATCTTATAAATTCGCTTTCATTTTAAACTACTCTATTAGATAGTAGACATTCGACTTATCTGAAATGTCTAATGTAAGATTATAGTTTTTGGGGTTCCCGCTGGAGATTATTTTTTGTTTCATTTTAATTAGTACAATAACCGTTGATATGTTGTTATATCGGTCCTAAAATTGATTTTTTATAAAAAAAAAATATGTATAGAAATTTCATTAAAAAATAACACTAAACTGCTCCTTTACAACAAATTTATTAAAGTAATGATTCAACATTGCCAAAGATGATGAAACGTTAGAGTCTGTAATATAAGCGGAATTTTATAAATCGTGTGTATTTAGATGTCAATTCATTGTCAAATAAGTCCTCATAGAAGAGATTAACTCGACAAAAAGTTCTAATGTACAATGTCGTTTTCGAAGAAACAATTTTGTTAGCCACACACAGTGGGAAAAAATGCCGATCTAGCGCGCAGAAAATAAAAGTAGATGTTTTACTGTATGTTTATCAACATTTTGGATAAGAATAGATTTAGATGGACAATTTTAATTATTTTATGAAAAAATTTGGCAATTTTTTTTATTAACCCACCAAGCGCCGATTTTTTTTTGTAGAAAAAACTAAAATTTTAGTTGAAAATTACTATTTTGAAGCTATTTAAACATTAATAAACAACATTTTTCGTCATAACTAATAGTACTCCCAAAATGGGAGCTTCTTTTCAAAATTTCGAAACATTTGGAGGGTAAAAAATGGGCTAAGGGAAAACACTATTGTTATTATATGTATCTTTATTATTGTTTACATTATGTATCTAAAACATTGTATAGTTATATATATTATATATATATATATTATAAAATTTAGGCATTACTTATTAAATACTAATAAAATTCAGAATCCGAGTTCTGATCTGAATTATTTGGTAGCATTGGATCCAGTAGTTTAAGGACTTCTTCAGATAGTGGCTCACTATATCGATGGTTAAGAGATGTACTACGAGATAAACTTGATATTTTTGGATCAGAAGAAAATTGCAACATATTGAAAAGATTCCTCATTGTTTCCTAACGACTAATTTTTCTGGTGTACAGTTCCCTGTAGTTCCAAAAGTCCTTATTTCTGGATTCCATGGCTTCTTCAAACAACATTCCTATGGGCAAAGCTGCACATTTAATTATATCATCTCCATGCAGTATATAGAACCAAGGATATAATTTCACGAAAAGAATAAATGTATCCTCAGTAAGTTTTTTAAATGACACTGTGTTAATAGCATATCCACAGGCCATGGTTGAAAGGATGATATAAAAATTTTTAATTAATTTTTCATCAACACCAGTTATCGACGATACCAAGCCAGATTAGCTAAAAAAACGCCTAGCAGTATTACCATCGTTTGTTGTTGTAGCAGCTAGTACTGCTGTGTATTTCCACATGCCAGGCAGACATTGTCGACCTCTCCATCAATCCGTGCCCAATACGAATTGAGGCGGCTACACCATCCAGATCTCAGTTGTGCCAAGACCACTCTAGTTTGTCGAGGTAGCTGCTGGTCTTCTGCGGCTATCACATGCGGATGGTCCCCGAGGAGGGTATTCACACGATATTCTTGAACTGCTTCCTCAACTGCGTCCGTATGAATACTGTTCAATCCTGCTTGATAGGCCTGATGATCTAGAGGCTCCCTTTTGTACCTCTGGACCTCTCTCTCCAGATCATGGAGATCCTTCCTGACATGCCTGGGTGGTGGGTGCCTATCCATTAGGTAGCGGTTCGGATGGCTGCTCCTATAACACCCAAGCAAGTATTGCATCGACAACATCTTGTTGTGTTGACGCACAGGAAGGATCTTCGTCTCCTCATGCAAGTGGTCTATTGGAGTCATGAGGAGACACCCTGTTGCAGTCCTCAGGGCGGCATTTTGGCAGGATTGAAGATTTTTCCACTGCGTTGCACTGACGTTAGCGGACCACACTGGCGCCGCATAGTTTACCACAGATCGGCCTATTGCTTTGTAAGTCGTTAACAAGGTTTCCTTGTCAGCTCCTCAAGTGCTGCCAGCTAGCGACTTGAGAACCTTGTTTCTGCTCCTGACTTTATCGCAAATAGCTGTGGCATGCGCGGACGACTTGTATAGGCTATCGAATGTGACCCCTAGAACCTTGGGGTAATTAGTGGTCGGAATTGTGGACCCCTCGACCTGCACATTCAAAGATAGCCTCATCTCCGCTGTCCATGTGGTGATCAGTGTGGCCGTTGACTTAGTGGCGGATATTTTCATATTCCTCGACTGGAAAAAATCAGCGATATCCACGAGATAGTGATTCGGTCTCTCGCAAATGTCATCAATTTTAGGTCCTGACGCCATAATCGTGCAATCATCCGCATATGTCACGATCTTTATGCCGTCCGGTGGGCGTGGAATTCCAGAGAGGTAGAGGTTAAACAGTTCCGGAGATATCACCCCTCCTTGGGGAACTCCCTGTTTAACTATACGGGCCTTCGATTTCCCGTCTCTGAATTCCACGTACGACTGGCGTCCACACATATAGTTTACGATCCAACGTTTCAAACTTGGCCGGAGGGTTGTTCTCTCGATGTCCTCGAACAGCTTGGCGTGACTGACGGTATCAAATGCCTTTGATAGGTCTAGCGCCCCCATGACTGTCCTGTTACACGGCCTGTTCTGGTTGAGTCCTTCTGCTATGTGTGCGGAAATGGCATGCAAAGCTGTTGTTGTGCTGTGCTGTTTCCGGAACCCATGCTGATGATCAGCAACTGAGTAGCATTGCGAAAGCCTCAAGTGTCTTGGCTACTGGCGACAAAAGTGAGATCGGCCTGTATGACTCACCTTTGCTGGCAAATACTACTACCATCGTTTGTTGTTCCGGATACTGACTTAGGTGTGTCAACAATAATGTGCATTTCTTCCTACAAATCATTAATGATACGTACCTTCTAAACATCGAATCCTTGAACAAAATTTCCGTTTGCTTATAGCGAAAACCATAAATGTAGGTAAAACCGTGTATATATGAATGTTACACCAATGATATTTTTTCAGGGTTCATAAAGTAGACCCTTTACCTGCGGTATTTGAGAACACTCTTACAACCGATTTCGTTGTAATTTATATGTATATTCAGTGCATGAGTTTAAAATCAATGTTTGGTGCAGCTTACTTAAATACCCTCATTTTCATACTCACACCCATTACTCTGGAACCTTAGGACGGACATTTTGAACTTTGTTGTTTTTTTTCTTATCTGCTATGCTGTGATTTATTCCAAGTCATATTTGATCAATTATATCAACAAAAGTCACAATTTTTTAATTTTGTTTGAACAAAACCTTAAAAAAACTTCCTACAGCAAATTGGCATTTTTTCAAAAAATTGCCATAAATCCGAGAGTCACAGGAAAAAATTTAGTATGATGTTCTAGACAGATACACAAAAAAAATAACAAAAAAAAAATTAACGCTGAACTCGACTGCACTCCATACGAAACCCCTATTTTAATTCAAGGAATTTAAAAAACGGGCCTTACATATATTTAGCCCAAAACACCTAAATTAAAATAACTTATGGTTTATGGTTTAACTATTCCATGTAATTAAATACCAATACTATATATCATAAGTGGACAAAATTCTATAATAATATATTCACAGAATACACACGACCATCGCAATTTTATAGCTAAAAAATACCATTTTTAACATTGGAAAAAATATCTATTTTAAATGTACCGTTATTCCGTTCTAACTTCGGATTATTTTATACGGACTTAAGTACACTCAACACTCTTCTTTAAAACTGCATTAATGTTTTAAAGTTTCCTTCTTATTTTAACCTCTGAAATGCCTTATTTAGCCATGCCGAGAATTGAATAAAAGGTTCCCGAAGTCGGAACCATGTTTTATAATTGTAATATTTTAATAAATAAAATTATTTTATATACATTTTTTAATACAATACTGATAGAAACGTTCGATGATAATAATTTATTATAGCAGCAAAATTAATTAAATAAAAAATTTTTGTTTAACTATTTTTTTTAACTATTTTTGTTTAACAAATCTGCTTTAATAAAAAATAAATTAAACAAATTGTTATTGCATCGAGGAGTAAACAAAATTTGAAAACATATGAACCTAAATTCAATATAGTGAACAAAATGCTCTCGGCATGGTGAAACGTTAAAAATGCGACAATCCTTAAAGTGCCGACTATTGGTGCACTTACCATATATAGTAAACGGCCCATTTTTTACTAATTTCTTCCCACAAACACGACATTTAAACTAATTAGCAGGCTAGGTTTATTCATTAATAAACCTTGATATAAAATAAAAATAATTTGTATCCATTTTTTTCATAATAGTAAACAACAATTTATACTAAAATTTATGCCGCCATTTTAGTCTCATGATAGGTGTACTGCATTTCTATTAATTATCAATTTTATATTTAGACAAAAGTCGATGCAAAATTCCGCCAATTAAAAATACTTAATTTCTTTCAAGTGTCATTTACATAAAATCGAAAGTAATACATATATATTTGTGGCCTAGGTATATCTATATATGAAACGATTTAAAACAAACAGGGTTATGCCATAGTGGATCTTTGGTGCGGATGAAAATATATGGTGTAGGCTATACAAATCTAGGCATATTACTTCTAAAATCTTCGGTATTTACAAAAACCGAACCATATCTATCTCTGTGATGTAGCCCACATATAACTGTGTGTACTAAATAAATATAATACAACTTATTATCCAGTGGTGAGACTATATAGAGAAAATAAAAATTAATTTTTAGTCGATTTCGTCCGTAGATATTAACGGTGCACGAGAACTTATAAATTAATCGTTCGATTCCTTAACAAGAAATATATTAGTATGTAGCGTATATACTGAAAACAGATATTTACGTTTATATGATTATAGTAATAATAATACCCAACGCCAATAGCAATAGCTCCGAGCAAGAAGTGCAGCATTGTCTTCGTCGTCATTTGTTCCGTGACCAGGTATAATTTTCTAGTGAATAGTTCAGACCTTGATCTATGTTATGTGGGACAATGTTAGGCTATGAATTGTCATAAATACGAATCCAATATCTGCAAATCATCTATAATGTTTGCAATGGGCAAAGTTCAAGTCCAAGATTTCTTACTTCACTTTTTACTGTGTCTTCAATCTTTCGCAGGCAAATTCCCTTTCAGAGAAATGTAATTTATTTTTATTTTGCTTACTTTTGAATTAAGATGAATTTCACAATATTTTCACTACTGGACGACTTTGTCGAAAATTACAACTGATTTGATTCCGGCTAATGTGAAAAGAATGACCATTCCACCCAATGCACCCAATTTAGGGCTCTAAAATTGTCTAATCGATATAAAAAAATAGGTAGGTAACCGAATAACCGCGTTTTGGACCTGTCGATTTTTTGAAAAAGTACTATATTTACATGGAACGCGTTTTTTAAAAGGGCTAAGCAGAATGCTCGCGTTGAGCCATCCGTCGCGTTATATGTTATCGAAAATACAACAACCACAAGGACACGAAATGCGTTTGTGTTATCGTATTAACTTAAACTATGAAATTTTATCGTAGAGAATCATGTGATCGTAATGAAATAGCAGATGTGCTTCCAAAGTACGTATTGTAAATATTAATGAAATGATAGTAATTACTCCTATAGTATTCATAAACATAATCAATTTCCTTTCATTAAGGCATAAGCAGAATGGATCCGTTGAGCCATCCGTCGCGTTACTTTTTATCGAAAATACAACAACCACAAGATAAAGATAAATCGATTATTGTTAATTAAAATGATAGATCCCTTCATAAAATATGGCAGTGATGGAAGTACAAAATTTAGTAACTATCTGCATTACCCATGACACTGTGCGACACGAAAATTTTTCAGGGGTCCTAATGTACCAATTCTGTTTAGTTGTAGTCCCTAGACTACGAAAAAACCATTAGTTTTTCTGGTTCACTTCGAAAATTAATTTTATAACGGTAAATATAGAGAAAAACGTGGTTTCATGGATTTTCAATTTGAAACTTGAATACCTTATTTGCTTTATAGGGGATTTATATTATTCTTTTTCGAAGAGCACAATTTTTCCTTTCAAACAAGATATATATTTGGTAAATCGGTTGAGGATTGGCTGAGTTACAGCGGTTGAAATGTGAAAAAATACGCATAAAATGACAAAATTTATTTTTTTTTTCGGACTGTACGATGAAATTATGATATCAGGCCATATAAGTTTATTATATTACGGGGAAGAAAATTAAATTAGCTTTCGAAAATGATAAAAATCAAAAAAAAAATCGGTTAAAAATGTATGACTTATGCAAATTTTTGTATTGATTCTATGCATATTCTCTAAAGACAAAGTAGAGAACCTTATAAATAGGCATTAATCATAATAGTACACACCATGATGCAATAATAAGGTGATGTATCACAACAACAACCTTTGTTTTTGTCTCGATTATCTGTCAAATTTTTCCATATAATATTTCAAATGGTTGACAACACTGCACATCGTATTCAAGTAAAAATTATCCAATTTGACAGTTAATCAAGACATCAGCTGCGCCAAATTGACTACCTATTCATTGTGCCATGGTACACACTGAACTACATCTGTTTGTCGATGTACGACTGATAACGCCGTATACTACTGGAAAAAGTACAAGTGCACTACAATTTCCATCACTGACAGACAGTGACAGAATTTTTTCGTGAATACAAAATTTTTCATTTTTCCGATTTTTACACAACATCGCCTAAAATACCATTCTAAACTGAAATAAAAGAGATTTTTTCACGCGATTTTCCCGGAAATGTGGGAATAGAGGAAATATCTCCAATGCTGCACTGCTGAGAAGAGCATACGACGACCAAGTGAATTTTAGACAATAAAGGAAACTTGTAAAATAAGGAAGGGGAAGGGTGAAATCATTCTGGAACAAAATGATGTTTTCATCGATAAACAACTCCTTCGAGCAGGACACCCATGACACAGACGGCAACTGTGATGGTCCCGATTTGGATTTTGTATATGCTGACGTCGATACATACCAAAACGAAATAGCCGAACTGTATAGCTATACCGAGTTCAGTGAATTTCAACAAAATGTCAAGGCGTTCGAGGACCAAATGGACATGTACAACTTGCCCCCAAATTGGCAGAAGTTAGACACATCTAGTCAGAGGGGCATTATTATGAAGTTGATTGACCAGCTCGAGGTTTCCAATCGGCAATTTCGCATGCAGGCCGCCCGATGTATTTTGTATTTGGCCCAAGGATGTTGGGCTGAAATCCAATCGGACGAGGAGCAGCAACAGAATACGCGTGACAACGTAATTGTCCTATACGAATTGGGCATATTTTCGTCCTTTCTGGATCTACTGAACATGGAAATAGAGAGTGCTTGCTCACCTGACATTGTGGCAGTGAAAATAACCAACGTCACTTTGGGTGACTCGGCCGATTTACGAGTGATTCTGTCAGTACTATATATTATAACAGAAACCATACGTGACGAAAAGGAAAAAGGCAGTGAGGATTATCGGAAAATTGCAGAAGCCTTCGTTCAGGAGATCAACAGTCCTTTGCCGGATGGAGAACTGTTGGCTGTTAAGTTATTGGGAATGATAACGAGATTTTGCAGTGGAGCTGCTCCCCATTTCCCAATGAAAAAAGTTGTGCTTTTGTTGTGGAAGATATCGTTGTTGGGATTAGGCGGCATGGAAGTTCTGAAGAATCTCAAGAATGAATATCGTATTAAGGCCGGTTTGAGTCCGGTCACTGAGGACACATTGGAGGTAACGAAAACTATGCGTGCGAGTTCTCCACCGGTCACAGCGGCCGACTATCTCGATAATCAGAATTTAAAACGAAACGCTTTTCGTCGTTCCTTAATGAAGCAAAGATTTTTAGACGAACAGGAACAGATGGATATGGAACTAACACCGGGAAATGAAAGTGCACCTAATGGCGGCAACAATGGCAGCGGAGGTAATGGTACTGGCCAAAATGGAGAAGATGAATATTATCGACCGTTCGAGGACCCCTCCACCGGTGCTTCGTCGTCTACCATAACAACTGCGAACCCAAATAATCTGCCATGCTATAATGCACAGCCGCCCGTTGTACAGCCCACACAGATGACAACCTGCTTGCCTTGGACACCAAAAGTGCGTCAGAAGGATATTGATCAATTTTTGGACATTTCGCGCAATAAGTTCATTGGCTATTCTTTGATTGACGATCACGAAAGCTTGGCCGGGCTTCCGCAGCCAATACACGAGGGTGTGCAAACGCTTAAACGTCACATGTACATAAGCCTGGCAGATATACAAATTAAAAAAGAGGAGGAAATTGCCCGTAATCCAATATCAACACAGGAAGACGAAGTAGTCTTGACGCCGGCTGAGATCCTCTACCAGGCCATACTGCCCAATTTGCCACAGTACATGATCGCCTTATTGAAAGTGCTGTTGGCTGCATCTCCCACTTCCAAGTCGAAGACCGAAAGTATTAACATTATGGCTGATGTTCTCCCCAAAAAGATGCCACTCACCGCCACACAATCCACCAAGTTGACAGTGGACATGGGACGCCATAAAGAGATTATCGTGAAGGCGGTGTCTGCAATTATTTTGCTGTACTTGAAGCACTTCAAGCTGAATCACATCTATCAGTTTGAGTTTATGTCTCAACACTTGGTGTTCGCCAACTGTATTCCTTTGGTGTTGAAATTCTTCAATCAGAATATCACTGAATATGTCAGCATGAAAAATACTATCCCACTGCTGGATTTTCCCTCTTGTGTGATTGGAGAACAGCCAGACCTGTCAGCAGAGAGTTTTGTCTTTAGTGCCGATGTCACAGACAAACCATATTCCTGGCGAAATGTGTTTTCCTGCATTAATTTGTTGCGCACACTGAATAAGCTAATCAAGTGGAAGCACTCACGAGTAATGATGCTGGTGGTCTTTAAGTCCGCACCTATTCTCAAGAAAACCTTGAAGGTGCGTCACGCCATGATGCAATTGTACGTCTTGAAGTTGTTAAAAATGCAAACAAAATATTTGGGTCGTCAGTGGCGTAAATCCAATATGAAGACAATGAGTGCCATTTATTCCAAAGTACGACATCGTCTCAACGACGACTGGGCATTTGGTAACGATTTAGAATCTCGTCCATGGGACTTTCAAGCTGAAGAATGTACACTACGTGCCTGCGTGGATCGCTTCAATCTTAGACGATATCCCGAAGCCACTCAGAAATGTGGATCTGGCGGTAATAATGGTAACGCCGGAAATAATACAGAGAATTCGACATCGGGAAATATTGCCGGTGGGAATGTTGATGGCAACGTGGCAAGTAACGGAGGTGGTGGCGGAATCTACGGTGCTGCAAATACTGGTAATGGTATTACCGCAGGAGTCGGTGGTCAACTGCAAGACTATGGTATTGAAGGTGGATTTCCAAGCGATGAAATACTAACACATTCGGATTTTGCCTTCTTTGGACACTCTGGTTGGTGGGATCGAAAAGTCGAACTTACAGATTATTTCAAGGCAAATTATACAACATGGCTAGAGGAGGAAGTCTACAACAACCAGACAGATTGGGATGCTCTTTAAGAGTATTTTGTAAGTATAAACACTATTCAATAATAATATGTGCAAAGTATATAATTGGGTGAACGTGTTGCCCGCGATGTTACACGTTTTGATGAAGAATTTAAATATGTTACTCGCTTGTTTGTCTACAACTATTTTTTCCTTATGGGGGACACAATATTAAAAAACATTTAAGACAAAGCCCATTTGCAAAGTGAAAACCGTATACAGTGTAGTTCAAAAAAATGAATTCAGAATCATGTAAGATCTTTGAAGTTTAAAAAATAAAACGCTATTACACGTCACTTTATAGTTTTGGTAGTAATAGGTTAGGTTAGGTTTGGGGATGTGCAGTCACTTATGTGGCTGTAGCACTCTGACACTTGTTAGGTCCGTTGTGATCATCCACAAGAAGAGATACAGTGAAGAGACAAAGACAGATCTGTAGGGGAGAGAAGATTAGGGAATTAAAGGAGAGTTGAGAATCTTACATAAATAAATGAAGGTCGGTGGGTCTAGGAGTCAGACAGAAGATGTGTTACGTGTCAAGGTTGTATGTTCCTAACCACTTTATGTTTCTAATTATGCTGTAGATTAGAGCAGGTTTGGTTTTTGGGAAGAAGCTGAGGCTCGGTAGAAAATGAGGCTCTGTGCCGACTGTAACCAGGGCTGGGCAATGACACAGGAGATGCTCAATTGTCTCCGTCTCCTCCTCGTCAACACAAAGTCTACAGTAATCAATTGCATAAAGATCCCATTTACTAGTAAAAGCCCTGATGCCCTGTCATCACTCTAATTTCAGCTTTGCCCATGTTCAACAGTGAGTGCGTTCTTTTGGTAGACAGAGTCGGCCAAATGAATCTTGACACGTTTCACCTAGGTTCGTTGTGCCAAAGTTCACAGGCTCTTTCGTCAAAGAATGCCTCAAAGTTCCGATAAAAAGACATGTGGGTGGTTTGATTGAGTCATCAGTTTCTAGATCGGTGGATTGAGATCCTCGTCTAGCTAGTTCGTCCGCTCTTTCATTACTCAAGACCGATAGCTATAGGTAAGTTCTTTCAGAGCTGCTCTACACTTGAGGACGGCTTCGAATTTGATGTAACAATATTTGATGGCTTTAAGAGCTGCTTGACTATCCACACAGATAGTCACCAGTTCAACGACCTCTGCATCCACACTTTTTATCAATTCCGCTGTCTTCCAGATCGCGAAGATTTCAGCTTGGAAAACACTACAGTTGCAATCCAGCTTGTAGGTTAACTCAAGGCCTAACCTTTCACAGTAGACGCCTGCCCCAGTACCTACTTCCATCTTGGATCCGTCTGTATAGAAGGTCAGACCGTCCAGAGGAGGGTTACTTCGTTTCCAGTCGTCTCTACTAGGAATAACGACAATCTTAATATAAAAAATATACAACATCCACATATCTACACTTATTATAATCTACGCATTCCTCAATATCATACAAAATCAGCAATTTTTTTGTTCCAAAATTTTAAATATAGATTTATAAAAGGATTTTTTTCCTCGAAGATATGCTGTGGCAAGTTGACATTGATTTTCGATAGGAAATTAAATATATACCTCTGCCCATTCCACTTCTAATATTTATTATTATTAAAAATCAGTCAGATGACTTACCGTTTACTACAATTGCTATGAAACCAGAGATTGTAAATTTTAAAATTGTTTCTAAATTAATATATTTGGTAGAGCACGTTGTCTCACAAAGGAATCCATATTTTCAGTTATATAGAGAAAAGTAACGATTGCAAATTTCATAAGTGTTAGAAGAGGTACAATTTGTGGAAAGTATGTAAAACTATTATTTAAGAAGTGTAGAATGATCGAACATGAAATTTTTATCATATAATTTACTAACATATTTTGTCTTCTCGTTGCAGATACGGATTACATGGCATCTTTTACGATATTCACAATTAATTTTTTCATTTAACAGCCGTATACAGCTGCAGAAATAGCAATTGATGCAACCATAACAAATATGACATACTAATAGATTATAGCATAAATATCATTAGATACTCTTTTTATAAATACCCAAGGGAAACATCAGTACACAGTTCACGTTCTATACACACACTCAATATGCATAATATCCATAGGTGATTGATTAATGTAACGAATGGTGTGATACATTTGATCTTTCTTACACACACACACAATATCATAACAAATGAAAAAAATTTACATTTATGACTTAAAATTGTACAAATAAACATCTATCGCTAGCGACTAAGAATACCTTTAAACTTGTTTGTTTAGAGAGGGCGAGTTCTCGATATGCAGTGGAAAATAGAAATTCAGAATGTAATGGAAGATTTCTGTACGGATATTCAATGACAAAATCATATTTTAATTCCTTTGTTATAATTTGAAAATATGAATAAATATATTTATTTATTACTTATTTGTATTTAAAACAATTTTGATTTTCATATTTATTAACATCAGCTTTTTGTTTGAAAATATTGATAGCAATGCTTTTAGTCAGATATTATTATGCATTAACTGAACAAGTATTGGACAAATAAACACGGTCATTGCAATCAGCTAAACATTTATTTGCAGTTCCCATCGAAAGGCAGTTTTCAAAACAAATTGAATAGTAGGCGATATAAGTTATTAATAACATCAACACTAACATGGACACATAAATACATTTAATGTAATGTTCAACGTAATACATATAAATGTTATTTAAACATATATAATTTATTAAAATCGTAATAAACACAGATTTACAAGAAATTTTCTGAAGTTGTTTTTTATTAGAAATTAAAACTATTCCTATGTTAAAGAAATTAGTCGTTCTTAGATTGAGACCACCATAACAGCAATTAAAAAAAATGATCAAGTCTGGAACTCGAGCTAAGAAATCACAATGTCATGTAATTACTTTAGTGTACCAAAAAAAAACGCGTTTCAGATGTGTCTTGGAAAAAGTTTATTATGTCTGAGGAGGATTTTTTAAAGGGGGAAAATATAGTTGTTGATGAATAAATTCTTTTTGATCAAATCTCGTATATCCAAAGTGATATACATTGGCTCCATCGAATAATCGGACAAGTGGTTGTCAGATATAATAATGCTATACATTTCAAAAAAATTGTCTAAATGTGTAGTTTTTTTGCCTTTATTTACACATTACTTACTTATATTTCTGAACAATACAAAAAACAACAACTTTCCTAGTGGTAACAGTAAATTTCGTCAGAAAAACGAAATGAACTCAATTTATTGTGTTCAACGCAAAATCGGACAAAGCAAAGTATCAATGTTAAAAAATGCAAAAAATCGAGAAATTAATATTTAGTTGCATATCCTTTACTGTCCAGAACGGCCTGTAAACGCTTCGGTATTGATTTGGCCAAATTCTGGCAAACCTCCGGTTCTATGGAGTTCCACGAATCTAGTAAAGTCTCCTTAAGATGTACTAAGGAGTTAAATTTTTTTCATACACTCTCCTAGCTAATTCTTCCCAAAGATGCTCAATTACGTTAAGGTCTGGGCTCTGTGCTGGTGTTTGTATAAGTTTGGGGCAGTTATGGATCAACCAAAGCTTTGCAACACCTGATGTGCGCTTGGGATCGTTGTCTTGATAAAAGACAAAATTGTTCGCGGTACCCAATTTGTCTGCACTTTGCTTTACATTTTGTTTTAAAATGTTGAGGTAGACAAATTTGTCCATTTTACCATCAATAAAATGCAAATTGCCTACTCCCGCACTCGACATGCAGCCCCAAACCATAACAGAACCTCCTCCGTACTTAACATTGGCTTTTGTATTCATAGGATTCAGCATTTGGCTTACGCCACACATACATCTTTCCATCTGATCCGTGCAAATTAAATTTGCTTTCGTCAGTAAAACGAAACCTTAATAAAATGAAAACTATCAATAGTAATGTATTCTAAGATGATCTATCATCAAATTACCTGCTTCCAAAAATCTTCTGGTTTTAGTAAATACTCCTTGGCATATTTTATTCTACTGCTCTTAATTTTTTAAGGCTTATAAATGGCTTTTTTCTTGCAACTCTCCCATAATAATCATATTTATGTAATGTATTGCGAACAGTATTTAGGCAAACATCTTTTCCAGTGCGAGTTTTTAAATTTATTTTAAGTTCTTTTGCGGATTTAAATTGATATTGTTTTATTTCTTTTAATATCGAACGCTCTTCTCGCTCATTTAATATCTTCCCTTGACCTTCTCTGCTTTTATTGGTTAATCTGAACTCATCACAGAACCTCTTTATAATGTCGTGGACAGTAGATTTACTCATTCCTACCAATTCGGCAATTTATCTTACTATTTTATCTTCATAATTCAATTTAACTATTAATTGCCTGATTTCCACACTGGATTGTTTCCCTTTTGGAGCCATTTAAATTTATTTTTATTTAGTATTACCACTTTCTTGATCTAAATGCAATTTACGAATGAATATGACAAACAAAATACAGATTTGTAGTGCATATTTGCATATTAACGGGACTTTTAGCATTGATATATTGCTTTGTACGATTATGCGATGAGCGCAAGAAATTGAGTTATTTTTGTTTTTCTACTGATATTTACGGTTATCGTTAGAAATGTTGTAGTTTTTTTTTCTGTTCGGAGAGTTATGTATGTGAAGTCGAAATAAATGCAAAAAAATATGTGTTTAAAACTTTTTTAATGTTCAGAATATATTTATATTAGAAAAACGTTTGTACGATTATGCGATGGAGCCACTGTATTTCTAATACCTGTAAGGCCAGCGGAAGTCTTATTGACTGTCAAAATTTATTGTTTGAAGAAAAATTAACAAACATATTTCTATTGGCGTATTAATGCTTTCTGTCTTCCCAAATGTTTATAACGTCGGGAAATATTGCTCTTAGGCCAACCTTTTAGAATACCGATCATCATATCTCTATCTGAGTCGATGTAGACATGTGTGTATTTATGTAGGTTCGTTTCGGGCAAAAAATACACCTGTTGTTTTTGGACC